TGCAGTTGCCACCTGGAGCTGAACCATGGGACTTGGAGGCCAGTCCCAGTCCGAGTCTCTCTATCGCTGCCTCTGCATCTCGAGACGAGTTTGCCAAGCAATAATTTTATTTTTAGTCGTCGCATCCTCGGCTCCGCGCTGTTTTGGCTCGGTCCCTGCAATATCCATCCTGCGTTGCCCCCCTGTACTTATAACGACTTGCCGCTTGTGTTATTATCTCTGGGCATAAATTTAATGGCCAATATTCACAGCTCCACCCACTGTTGAAAATGTTTTCCTTTTGCCAGAGAGCGAAGAAAAAATGAAATTATTTGCGGGCAATGGGCAACGGGATGGAATGGATGGAATCCGGGCAGCTGGGGTTAGGGCCTATAAATTATGATTTAGTTATGGCTTTTGGGTGTATGGGAAGTAACCCAGGCAAATTGATTTGAAGAGGCTACCCGAAGGTTGTGAAACGGACATTTGTCACAGTTGTTGATGGATGGACGGCATCGCTTGGCGCCTTTTTGTATCTGCGAGATACAAATCATGCAGATACTTTTTCTGCCACACTTTGCTCTTGCGAAATCAGCAAAATGGCTTTGCCAATACCACATGCCATATTTGGTGCGGGAAGTGCCCAGGCCCCGGAGCAAGAAACAAGTTTCCATCGCCAACAGCCGAGCTGTTTTGAGCCATTTGACTCGCTCTGGTGTCAACCTAAGCAGTTTTTCTGTCTCTGTTTCGGTTTCGCTCATTTGTTTATGCCCGTTCATATTCAGATTTCAAAGCTATTGACAGTCGAAATAGCTTACAAGTGGCACACGCAAAGTTTTTGTGGCAGCCTCTTCGCCCGCGGATTTCTTCTGCCCATTGTATCTATGAAGTTGTTAAAATCCGCGACAAGTGCCACTTGAACTTGACGTTTTGGAGAAAGACAGAGAGAGACTGAGAGTTCAGGGGATAGAGACGGGGAGAGTGTGGCAGTCTCAAGAGACAACGATACATTGTTGAAGTTGATGGCTTGAAGATTTATGCCACTCGAGAGCGCCAGCGACAACTTAAAAAAGTTACAACTTTATGGGGAAGCACCTAAATGCAAAAAAACTTGTTAACTTTGTGAAAATCTTAAATTTCAGTTGTTAAGTAGGTATAAAAAAATTAGGAAAACAATAAATGCATTTCTTAAACGCTTTATAATTATAGTCTCAAAAAACTTTGTTAAATGCTATAACATGTTTAAAAAATTCCCAAGAATATTACGTATACCTAAAATGAAAAATAAATAACCTATTTTACTTGTTTCGAAAATCAACAATAAAATAACAATTAAACTTTAAGCAAATTTATGATTACAAGTATCAATCCATAAGTATTATTTCCAATCTTTACCGTATGCTTATGCCTATGGCAACTTTTCGTGGGGCGCTCGCCTTGAGCTCAAAAAAATTGCCAACTGGCTATAAAAATGTTCCATACCGAACTTCAAATACTACGAAAAAGAGAGGAGCCAACAAGAGTGGAAAAACCCGAGAGAGGAGGAAACTTTGAGAGGCCAGAAGGACACCAACACGTGGCCATAAACTGGCGACAGGCAAAAACAATTTAGCTTATAGATTGGAAGAAAGAAGTGCGGGGGATCGTTGTCATATTTTATGCCCAAATAGTTAAACGAATGCACAAACACTCATAAAAACCAGCTGGAAAATTGCTTGTAAAACATTTTTGTGTGTGACATTGAGAAGGTGGTGGGATAGGGGGGCACGCATTTACAGCAAATCTCCGGGGCTCCTCCACACATTCCCATAAATCACAAAAAAGTATTTCCCATTTTTCCTCTCTTTTATATATATTTTTTTGCCGGCTACATTAATGCGCCTACACACATCTGTGCCTGTTGGGTTAAAGGGGGAGGTGTTTTTGGGGATATTTGGTATGTGGATGACGGCCTATTTGCGCCTCGTCGCTAGCGGGAAAATCCGGCACCAGAAGCCGAACAAAAATCTGGAGCTAAAGCGACTCTTTGCATGGCTCCTGCCAGTCGGTTACTTCGTTTTCCAGCTATTTATGATTTGCGCGCGACAATTTTTTGCGCTTAACTGAATACCCTGGGACAACTGGGGTATATTGGGTTGAATAGAATATTGATTAAATCATCCCATTTATAGAATTGTAATACTAAATTAAAATATTTAAATATACCAATTAAATGTCCAATTAAATTTGTACAGTTTGTTTATCTTATTTTATTATTAAAATTTATTTTAAGTCTTTGGAAAATGTATAAGTAGAACAAACCAAATAAACAAAAAAGCTTAAATAAATCTGGTAGGTGGAAAAAAAAGCATTTTTTATCTTTTATTATTTAGGGAATTACTAAAACTAATTACGGGACCTATCATTGTTTAAGAGTAAATACTCAAAAAAATCTAAATCTTCAAAAAAGTATATAAATACTAGGTACATCCTGCTTCCCGTTAGAACTTTTCACCACATTTATTTGATTGTTTTTTCTTATTTGCTTATTTTATTTTATTTGCATGCTGATTTTCCCGTCCGCAGTTTGGCAGTGCAATGTTGTTTACTTAGCGGATGCTGATTCGGTGGCCAAGAGGATTTTTTTTGGGAAGCCAAGGGGCAGGCAGAGCGTAGAAGCCAACCCGTTGCAGACTCACGAATGTTGTACAAATGTGTGACATTTTTGTGCGGTGGCATGGAAGCGATTCGGGAGGGGGATTGGGGGTTTTTGGGGACCATATAGCAGGGGGTTTGGGGAGATGCCATGTGTGCGTATCCCCCTTTCGCCAACGACTCTGGTCCGCGCTCTGTCTGTTTGCTCTCTGCACACGCGTTTGGAATTGATTTTTATGCTGTGATTATATTTTCGAAAAGGTTGACGATGAGCCTGGGCCTATATAGGGGGTGAATAAGTAGTATGTGGAGCAGCCTCCATCGCCACTCTCCCAGCCTGTTTGTTCAGCAACAATGAAGTGTCGCCCCCGAGTCGAGAACACGCTTGAAAAAATATAAATTAAATTATGCGTTCATGTTGTTTTAATGGGCCTCTCCGTAAAGTCGGGGCATTTTTTGTAAGGGGTCTGGCGGGGGTGGACAGATGCTGATAGTCAGTTGGAGGCTGCCCTCGACGTTTTTTATGCGCCTTGTTTAACGATCGGAAGTTATATTCATAAAAATATGTCAATGAATTGTGAATTATTTATGGGAGATAGCCCCGGAAAAATGTCAACCAGATAAATAAATTACGAGAATGAAAGGGGTAGATTTTAAATCAAATATCGACTGCCCAGTTTTATTTTTTAAAATGTTTACGAAATAAAATTTTGAAAAATAATTAATATACCTATGTTTTTTAAAAAAAAGTCGAACGTGATTATAATTTTTGTACACACAACTTGGAATAGGTCAAATATTTCATCTAGGCGTCTTACAATCTGGCAATATACTCTTTTAATAGTTTTATTCCATAATAAATGTAAAATAAGTGACAAGTTAAATTTTGCCACCTGATATTACTGACAATAATGATAAATTACTTACTTACAACTCGATAACAGGGTATCCATAATTAAATGACGAAAATTGCGATACCAATTTCTACATGCGCTATATTAAACCAGAATATCTGGTAAAAAAATCACCACGAGAGTTGAGAGGCTGCATGCATAAATTGGATTTTCTTGCATGGCCCCCGAGGCCTTGTGCTCAATTTAGTTAGAAAAATGAGCAGAAAAAAATAGTTATAAAAATTGAAACTGAAACTTAATTGCAATTAAAGTTGAGTGCTGAAGGAAAGGCGCAAAGCGAGTGAGCGAACGCAATGCGAGCGAAATGAACACCTTCAATTAAATTGAGTTTTGCGTTAGCCACCGACCTACTTTTCAGCACACAAAACACACCTAGTCTCAAAACCGGAGGCCCGGGGACCCGGACAACACCCGGAGAGCCGACGAGCCGGTTCCGGGCCGGACGTCACTCTGCACTCGGCCAACAAAGTGTTGGCCAAAGGCTTGAATTTCAAACGACAATTAGAAAATTTGCAAATTACATGGACATAGATAAGCTCTGGGAAAAATAAAAAGAAAAACAAAGGTGAAGAGCGGGAATTTTAATAAAAAGGAAAATACAGAAAGCGAGAGGAGGGGCCAGCAAGCAACCAACGGCCAGCAACCAACTTAAAAGTGGCCCAGTCAGGTGGGTTTTTGGCCAGAGAGATATTATGGACCCTCCTCTCGTTTCAGCGGGTGTTAAGTTGGTAATTTTATGCCCGAGTTAACTTTTAATTTGTGTAAATGATTTTGTGGATTTTATGCGCATCATTAAAATGAGTAGAAAATGCAGCCAAGAGCCAAGGCGGAGCAGAACGGGATTTGCCCGAGACATCTCCGGATATATATTTTGATGTAAATGTGCGGCCGTAGCGATGCGATAAATGCCCAAGATAGTTGAATGCTTTTCGGGGGATTGACAGATAGACAGTTTAATGCCTCTTGATTTGTGGGTCAGTCCGGCGAGGGAATCACAGCGTCGCAGAGCTATGGTCTCAGTCAAATTAGGCAAATATCTCAATAAACCTCAACGAATGCTTGGCATTTCGAAGAGAAGTTAGGGGAAAACGCATTAAAAGTGTTCGAAGTATGGTTTGAATTGATGCTTAAATAGGGAGATCAAAGGCGGGTGAGCCCCAATAGAATCAATCTTTCTTATAGTTATTTTATAGAAAATACTTTATTAATGTTTTAGTTTTAAATAAATATTTGTCCTTTTTTGAACGGCTTAGTGAAAGGTAAGTATGTTTTTGACCGCTTTCATAAGAAAATGGTTATAGAAAAAAAATTAAAAGGTATCATTTGTTTTAAATAAATAGACTTGATTTTCGATTTTAAAAATAAATAAATAAAATCCCAATATTATTATAAAAGGTTTTTAGGTCTCATTACGATTTAGATTTAGATTTAGATTTTAGATTTAGATTTAGTGCTATTCAGGGGTTTACTTACCAGATGTAAATTTGACGAATAAATACCTGAAATGATAACCAAACCAAAAAGTTCATTAGCAAGACAAACAATTTCTTTAGGATTATAATTATGATAAAAACATAAGCAAAGCATTATGATGCAAGTTATTTCCCGCAGCTCCAGTAACCAAAAATTATTATATAATCAAAATCGTAAATGCTTTATTAATGGCCCGACACGTCCCGCATACGCATACGCCCTGTTGGCCCAGCTGGAAAAGCCATTTGCCCCGCTGCTTTGGTTTTTGGCCCATTCTGAACTCATTTGAATTTAACACTTTTATATGAAACTCCCAAACGTCGCCGGCTCGTAAAAACAACAGCAACGAACGAAAAAAAACTTTTTTGGCGCCGCACATTATTAAAATTTCTTTATGACAAGCGAGTCGGGCCAAAAGCAAGTTTGGCTGAGTGGAGTGGAGTGTAGTGGGATGGAATGGAGGCAAAGTGGAGGAGCTCCTCCAAAGAGCCGGTCCAAAGAGTCATCAACAGCCACAGCAAACGACGACAAAAGGCATAAAAACTGGTAACAAAATATTTGTATTTATACGCGTGTGCCTGTGTGTGTGTGTGGTAACAACAGAAATTTGTTTTGGTCTTTAGTTTTAGCATAAATTAACATAAGATTTATGGCCGGTCCACTTGAAAATGAGACGAAACTAGAGAGGCCGTAAAGTTGCTCTGCGCTTAACAAGTGAATGAAAAAGTTTCGGGTTTTTAGGATGTTTCCGGAGGAGAGAAAAGCCCGGCTTTTCCGCTTTGGTTTGGAATTTAAGGCGTAGTATTCCCACACAGCACGTGTTTTTGGCAACGGCAACACTAAGCAGCAGCAGGAAATAGTGAAAAGGAAAAACTTCCAGATCAACTGGCACTTCTTTTCCAGCCAGTCTGCTCTTATTTAACTTGACAACTTTGCAGCCGTCTGGCCACCTTACTTCTTTCCCCCCACCAATATGGGACTTTTTCTTTCTTGACCATACACAAAACAAGCGCCAATCAAGGAGACATCAAAACCGTAACGAAAAACTCGTTTTTAATTAAAGGCATCTTTATATCGCCTTATTTTTTAATTCGTTCCGTTTTCTTGTGGATATTTTACTTGCCAGATAAAAAAAAACACAATTCGATTTGAGTGCTTAAAATCCCATAAATAAGTGACAGATAAATGCTCCGATCATCGTGCCGATGATTATCTCAAATGATTTGTGCTCGATTTAATTGACTATGGGGGCGAGATGGAAAATTATGAAATGCAATTAACTCATGTCAGATGTCTGAATTTGATATATGAAATTAATGACCTGTTGCCGGGGGTGAGTGAAAAGTAAATGAAGATAAAATAAGATAGTTACGCTACACAGAGAGTAAAATAATAGGTTCCTGAGTAAAAAACATTTTAAAATATGTCAGTTAAATTATAGCTAATTTTTTTAAAGTGTACAGCTGACTTCGGAACTCTGAAAATTCGAAGAGTCTGTCAACCGTTTTCCTTATTAGTGGTAATGCGGTCCCCACACTCCATTTCCAATGCACTCCTAGCCATCAAAGGGTTCCACACACACTCTAGATTATTTCTCGCGGAAGTCACGTAGTCGCCGAACAATTTGAAAATGAGTTTTGTCGGTTTTACACTCACATATTTCTATATTTCTTGTTCTGCACTTCGGTTGCGGTCAATGAAAAGCCGCCGCGCCAAGATTTTCAAGCGTGGCAAGAATTGAGCTGCCAGGAATTGAGGAATTGAGCAATTCGCACGTTTGCCTCACTCGAAACAAAGTAAAACAAGGAGATTGAACAGTACGGAATACAGAAAATAATTCGAGTAGCGTTTCATATTGATGGCGGGGGCCCAGACTTCTGGCTCGTTTCGTTTCCAAGAAATGCCATAAATTCATCAATTATGACGGCTGGCTATGTGGACAACATTGGACATTGCCTGCACATGTAGTGGGGCTTTTGGCCTGGGAAGTGAGGGGGTTTCGAGGGGCTGGGCCTCCTGCTCAGATTGACAGCTGTCAAGCCCAGGAACCATAACCATAGTGGGTTCGGATGGCGCAGCCAGAAATGCACGAACAGCGCTTAAATTAAAAGGGATACTTTTTTAATTAAGGAAGCACGGAGTCTAAAGGTTTGAGCTCGCAGAGGAGTTGAGCTCGCAGATTGTATATACTTAACTTAAATGTAATTAATTAATTTAATTTTTTATATATTATTAATTTTTTTAACATTAAATTAAAATTTATCAATTAAAATTAAAAATGACAGAAATATTTTTGTTCAAGAAATTTGAAATTTAAACGTAAAGTAAAAAGTGTATTATTGATTGAATTTTCGTAATAAAACTGCCCAACGAAAACTACCAAAAATGAATTAAAAATTAATTGCCCAACTTGCAATGAATTATTGCCTTTAGCTTTTAGCTTTCGAAACCCATAAAAATCATTTCCAGTCGCACTTCAAGTGTATCCATCCAAATAAAGATGTTGCAGGATAGATTCCCCATCATAAAACAGTTTTACTAATCCATTTACGAGACTTTTTCTAATTCAATGGCAGCCATTACATGGGCGATCGGCGGAGCAACGAAAGCGGGAAAATGGTCGAGGGGAAAATGCATTTTCCCGTTCACCCACAATTGCCAACACGTGTGCGGCACGAAAACTAAACTGGCGTCATTTAATTAACCCGCCAGTGCACCAAAGGGGTCCCCCTTGCCCCGGTCGAAATTTTTACCCCTGCCGCACACGGCGACCACATGATGATTATGATGGCGATGAGGGTATCACTGTCGCCCTGCCATCTCGTTTTCCAGGGGTTATGCCTGGGCTTAGACCTCGTAAATCGGGAAGTTATTTTTATGCGCTTTTAATAGACTCACGCTTAGAACAGCGCCCCTGCCTCACATCGTATTTCATGTTTATGAATGCATTTTTATTATGATTTCAGCTCTTTTTGTTGCTTTTCCTTTGTATTTGCTGTTTCATTTGGTATAATTTTCATGGCTCTACTTTATGATCGTTAATGTTTACTGGGTAAAAGTTTACGACAATTACAGCGAGTGTGGGTGAGAGAACTAAAAGGGGGACGGGGAGTGGGGGATTGGGCAATTAAACTGGAGAAAGCCAAACAAATCTCGAACAAGTCGTTAATATTGATTCGACCCTGGCAACAACTTAATTCTTGACTGAACATTGAAGAGCAAATTAGAATGGATATCGTTAATATTATAGAGACATTCTCGCAACTAATATTTAATTTTAGGGGCAGTATGGGGTTAAGGGGGCCAGAACACACACACAACCCCGCAACCCAAAAGAAACAAACCGAGGACAAACTCATAAATCTTTGCAAGGGACTCCGACTCCCCCGTCTTGCGAAATCCAAGGAAACATGCCATAAAACACATGAAGAAGTGTGTAAATAACAGAAGGAGCTGCAGGATGAGGAAAACCCGACCCAGAAGCACCGAAGAGGAAGTAGTAGAAATCTAGTGGGGCAAAAACCGTTGGACACCTTTAAGAATCTGTTTTTGCCTCGCGTTTTCCCCCAACCACAAACAATCTCACAAAATTTATGTGCGAGCATTTTTTGTTCGGAATGAAATCAAAAACAGACCTCCTCACAGAGGGTGGGTCATTAATTTATGTAAAGCACAAATTATGATTGGGTAGTGTGGGGCATAGCATTTGGGTGGTGGTCAGGGTTGTGCAGAGAAAAAAGCATAATAACAATGGATCCATATTGCTCTTAGCCTGTATCAGATGAAAAACACATTTTTCAGGTTAATTATCCATTTGAGATTTAGGAACAGTTATGTCGAGCGTGTACCGTAAAGTTGTGATGAAATTTTATTGTATGATAATTACCTATCCCGCTGATCTTAAAATCCAAATCTATTAGTTACATTCTCTTTATATTGTCCACATAAAAGTGTAGTAATTTGTAAATAATAATGATATTAAAGAGTATTTTATATATCAACAGGTACCTTTCATATAAAAAATCAAAATAACTGAATTTATTAAAACGAAAACATTTTTTCTCTCAGCGCACATATTTCATCCCATGGCATCGTTCCAACTAGGCCTAAACCAAGTGAAGCAGTAGCAGTAACAGCAGCTGTAACACGTTGATTATGCAGGCTTCATGATGAAATCCCCGGAATGTGGACGATGATGATGATAATGGTGCTTGGGGTCTCTGCGGTTTCTTTCGGGGTTCTTCGCTCTGGTTAAGGGTAAGTGAAAAGTACCGCAACAAGAGGAAACCGTTGCTGCTTAATGGCGCAAAATGTTCGCAGTTGGTGAGGAAGAACCGAAATGATTTATGACACAAGGAAGTTAATTTATTAATTTTGCCAGGGCCCCGAGAATATATGGAGGGACCCACCGATGGGGAATGAAATGTTTACAAGCTTTCATTTTTCTGCTCTAGGGGTTCAAAACAAGGCGGCATGAAATTAGAAAATGCCTTCCAAAATGACAAAAACCGCTGAACAAGGTCAGATAGATTACAAAAATGAATGAGTAATGTCGAAATTTTAAATTATTAAACCTTAAATTTAATGTATTCATCAATCTTCAAATTAATGATAAAATTGGTTTTCATTACTAGAATAAGAAGCATTCACCGTTCGAAAAACTCAATTGAACCAAACACCTATATCTTTCCGGATCTGAACTATCTTTCATCGTCTCCCCAGGATGCCTTGACGTCACTTCACCATAAACCAAACCTAAAACAAGAGAGAACGCTATAGTCGGGTGCCCCGACTATCAGATACCCGTTACTCAGCTAAAGGATAAAAACTTTGATCCGCCGTAACTTTTTAACGAATGGTCCGATTTAAAAAATTTCTTCTACATTTCGATAGGTATTGATAAACACCTTAAAACTGCATTTTTACTTTTCCGAAATATTGAAATTTGTAAAATCGTATATAAGCGATTGTGGGCGTTAGAGGGGGCGTGGCACCCTTTTGAAACAAACTTGCGCTGCGTAGGAAC